CCCCCCCCCCCGATACAATTTCCCCGTAGTTTTCAGTCGCAGAAAAATATGCACGTTTAAACAACTATCGCTGAAAAAGTTTCGGTAACGACACTTTCGCCGTTCGCGACGCAGCGATTAATCTTACTAGCAAAAAGTAACTAGCTTTACTGGTAAAGTTACTATTCTTTTGTACGCGCCGCTGGCATTTGTCACGTACGACGATGAGAAATTCCGAGTCGATCCGACGATCTTCCTTTCGCCTATGAGAGACGAAACCATCCAATACCGAGTCTTCCATGATCTGAAATACTCTAAAAAAAAAAAAAAATCAATTTTTCCATTCTTCCTCTCCTCTCTTCGTTTCTCGAATAAACAGACTCTGCCGGTTTTTACGAATCTAGAGATATACGCACGGCTCGGTGATAATTCGGTCTCGATGCGATTGGTAGTTCGATAATTCGCTAGAATCTTGGAGAGAAACAGTCGCTACGACGCTATGTTGGAACAAGAACGTTTAATAGAATAATGTGGTAGGTTTATCACAAATTTTATATCATATCGTAGATCGATTAACGGGCATATTATCGGGAGAAAATTACATCTTACTTTGTACGAACGTTACGTCCAAAAGACGTAACGTTCTCGCGTAAATTAAACGCTCTATCGTACGTGATGAAAGAATAGTCGCCGCTGTCGATTAATTTGTTAATTCAATTTGTCAATTAATTTCTTCCCAACTGGATTTTGCAAATATAATTTCCTGTTTATATATACATGATATATATAATATATATTATATAATTATATATAAATATATAATTATATATATATATATATATGTATAATACGGTATTTAAATACCGCGCAATTTTTACAAACTGGAACTTTTGTTCTACTTGAAAGTAGATTTAGTTCTATTTTCATGTCGCCGCGTGCATTTTCCTGATAAACGCACAACGTAAAAGTACGCGCGATACAAATATACAACGGTATACTCGCAACAAGTTTTCTTTCACTGTAAGAACGTGTTAGATGAAAATTTAA